ACAAGGGAACTGTCGGAGTGGCATCTAATAAATTTTAATAAAATTTAGTTAATAGTTACGTTAAAAGTATACAAACTCTATATTAAATTTGTAGTATTCACTAAAAGAGTTAATCAGAGTTATTAGCAATCAAATGTCGTACTATTTTATATGCGGATTTTTAAAAGTGAAAGGGTCGCGGAGGAAGACGGCGATATTACATATAGAATAAATTCTGGAATTTTCAAAAATGGTTGAAGAATTAATAAAATGTAGTTAATAATTATGTTAAAAGTATACAAAATTTTATTAATTCTTCAACCATTTTTGAAAATTCCAGAATTTATTCTATATGTAGTATCGCCGTCTTCCTCCGCGACCCTTTCACTTTTAAAAATTTGCATAATTATGTTAAACTACTATAAAGTAGTGCAACATTTGATTGCTAATAACTTCGATCAACACTTTTAGTGAATGCTACAAATTTAAAATAGAGTTTATATACTTTTATCGAAGTTATTAACTAAATTTTATTAAAATTTATTAGAAGACACTTTCCGACAGTTCCCTTGTTAGTGAAAATAGGTAAACATCGAAGAAGTTTTCCGTTAAGATATTAAACTATTTATTCACTAGAACAATTAATTAAATTCGTGTAATCGATTTTCAATTAAATCCTTCTGACGTCGGCCATGTTAACTGTGAAAAACGAACAAGAAGGCGGGGCGTGTTGCTATTCAATCATTTAAAACATAGTTAATTTAAATAAATACAAAAACTTTTTTTTGGTTTTTTGAAACCGTGTTCATCAAACAAAAATGCAAAGAAGCTAACACCAAGATCACAGACATGAAGAGAAAATACAAGTTGACTGCAGAGGGGCAAAGTCCGAAACATTATCGACTCATCTAATAAAGGAATTTGATGGAAAATTTGCCACGTGTCATTGGAATAAAACAATACTAGTGTTTACTACGCCACAAATACAAAAACGTTAAATACACATATAAAATCTTTCCTTAATTTTTAAGTTTCATTCCTTTAATTACTACATTAAATAATTTCGAAAGAAGATAGTTTTTCTTACGAATTTAAAGTTTTAGCGGGAACTATTTCTCGCGGAAGAATAAACGGACTATAAAAACACGTCATCAGAACGGTAAACAGACAGAAGAATGTATTGTCTGCACCGTGTGGGTGTGTGTTGTTTATCGTCTACGAAATACGCGAATCAGTCGGCGAAACAATTTTTAAATGCTTAATTAAGCAATATTATCGTCTTTTGAAGAGGATTCGGCGTAAATGTAAGTATTAATTTAAACTTAAATTTCGAAATCGATTTTACGGTAAAGTAGGTCAAAGACAAACTACAGTCGCCATTTTTTCTGCTTACGACTCCGTCGTTGTCTGTCGGGTTAGACCGAAGCCAACGTTTTCCATCCCACTAAACGGTTTTATGCTTTATTAATAGAAATATTTAGACGTATTCTGACGTCATTTCTCACGCAGAATCGAATGGTATATATAAAAACGCCCGAACTGTTTCGTACTTGAGTATATTTATTTCATTTAATTAATAGCGACTTATTAAAAAATACTTTCTCGTTCTTCGACAGTAACAAAATGCAGTAATTTTATTTGCCTTATTTCGTTATGTATACGAGGAAAAAGGACGTTTAGGAATGGTGTCGTTGACGACCTTCGATTCCGACGTGGCGAGGTAAACGTCATTATGACGTCACTTTAAAATTATTTGTCTTGTGAACGGTAAGGGTGGAGTTATAAACTCCGTAACGTAACCGTATTCGTAGCTGTAAGCGTATCCGTATAGCGTGGTTATAAACTCCGTATCGTATCCGTATGGCCGTACCGTATTCGGTAAGAAAAGTTTGGTTCGATCAAACTTTTACGGTAAGAATACGAAGAACTGACCTCTAGCAAATAAAGATAATAGTAATTTATAATAAACCCGATTTCCGATAGTGATAAATTAGCGGTCGTAATCCTTTCAGTTTTATTTCTTACAAGAATTTGGCACGCCATTTCATACTACTGCAGCAAAGAAGAATATTTAAATCGCGATTTCCCAACGGGATAGATATTGACTCCTTAGGGTGAATTAACATTTCAGAGGGTCGATAAGGGTGCGACTATACAGACACGAATTTCGTAGCGAGCACGCAAAAGAAAATATGCCCAAGCGAGAAATTTCACTGGCGTGAGCGGTTTTCTGGTTCTCGCACATATTTATTTTTGTTTTACTCTTTCCGCCCTGTGGGACTAAGAAAGCCTCTTAAAGCAGGCCCATTATGAGTTCGGCCAGGCCTACAATGGGGCGACCGGGTGGTGAGGGACGGGGCCCGACGTATCCGAACGGACCACCCTCGAAAAATTCCTGGGGATTCTTTGCCCCCTCCGGATTCGGTCCCAGGTCCCCCAGGATGGTAGGCTGCCACCTTGACCGCTCGGCCATCCGGCCTGCTTCTCGCACTTATCTGACAGAGTTTGATATTTATCGCGTCTCGCCTCTTCTCGCCATATATTCTCGCTCGCTCGCGTCTGCATAGCCGCACCCTTAAGATCGGTCTTGTTAGTTAGTTTGGTTAATTTTTTTATACTTTTTCATATTTTAAAAAATTCATGGACAAAATTTACACAAAAGAAAAATGATAAAATTCATACATAGTATTTTTTAATGTAACGTAATGAAAGAAAATCATCTTAAAAATTGTTGTTTGTCTTCTTTTTAATTGTCTATTAGTTTTAATTTGTAATTGTACTTGATTTTTTTTATGTACAAAAATTATGTGTGATTAAGATGATTTTTTAAATACATAAACACAGTTTTTAAATGTAATATTGGACGTAGTTAATGATAAAATAATACCCTTAAATATTTTTTAAAACATGTTTAAAAAAACATTATTTATTAGTGTTTGTTGTCTTCTGTTTGTACGTGACGTCATGGAGTATGCGGAATTAAACAAGTTATTTTCCTTCACGTTTAATGTATCTGTACACGTGTCCAATTGTGTTCTTGCTGATTGGCCGAGACTTACGTTACGTGCGTCTGTGTACTAATCTAGCGCCTTACTGTGTACTGGTGATTCGGTTGCCTTTTCTCTCCGTGGGGAAAATGTATCCTTCCGCAGTTTCTCATTCTAGTAACGTGACGGGTCGAAAACTTACAAGGAAACTGTCGGAGTGTCTTTTAATAAATTTTAATAAAATTTAGTTAATAACTTCGTTAAAAGTATATAAACTCTATTTTAAATTTGTAGCATTCACTAAAAGTGTTGATCAGAGTTATCAGAGACAATTACGCAAATTTTTAGAAGTGAAAGGGTCGCGGAGGAAGACGGCGATATTACATATAGAATAAATTCTGGAATTTTCAAAAATGGTTGAAGAATTAATAAAATGTAGTTAATAATTATGTTAAAAGTATACAAAATTTTATTAATTCTTCAACCATTTTTGAAAATTCCAGAATTTATTCTATATGTAGTATTGCCGTCTTCCTCCGCGACCCTTTCACTTTTAAAAATTTGCATAATTATGTTAAACTACTATAAAGTAGTGCAACATTTGATTGCTAATAACTTCGATCAACACTTTTAGTGAATGCTACAAATTTAAAATAGAGTTTATATACTTTTATCGAAGTTATTAACTAAATTTTATTAAAATTTATTAGAAGACACTTTCCGACAGTTCCCTTGTTAGTGAAAATAGGTAAACATCGAAGAAGTTTTCCGTTAAGATATTAAACTATTTATTCACTAGAACAATTAATTAAATTCGTGTAATCGATTTTCAATTAAATCCTTCTGACGTCGGCCATGTTAACTGTGAAAAACGAACAAGAAGGCGGGGCGTGTTGCTATTCAATCATTTAAAACATAGTTAATTTAAATAAATACAAAAACTTTTTTTTGGTTTTTTGAAACCGTGTTCATCAAACAAAAATGCAAAGAAGCTAACACCAAGATCACAGACATGAAGAGAAAATACAAGTTGACTGCAGAGGGGCAAAGTCCGAAACATTATCGACTCATCTAATAAAGGAATTTGATGGAAAATTTGCCACGTGTCATTGGAATAAAACAATACTAGTGTTTACTACGCCACAAATACAAAAACGTTAAATACACATATAAAATCTTTCCTTAATTTTTAAGTTTCATTCCTTTAATTACTACATTAAATAATTTCGAAAGAAGATAGTTTTTCTTACGAATTTAAAGTTTTAGCGGGAACTATTTCTCGCGGAAGAATAAACGGACTATAAAAACACGTCATCAGAACGGTAAACAGACAGAAGAATGTATTGTCTGCACCGTGTGGGTGTGTGTTGTTTATCGTCTACGAAATACGCGAATCAGTCGGCGAAACAATTTTTAAATGCTTAATTAAGCAATATTATCGTCTTTTGAAGAGGATTCGGCGTAAATGTAAGTATTAATTTAAACTTAAATTTCGAAATCGATTTTACGGTAAAGTAGGTCAAAGACAAACTACAGTCGCCATTTTTTCTGCTTACGACTCCGTCGTTGTCTGTCGGGTTAGACCGAAGCCAACGTTTTCCATCCCACTAAACGGTTTTATGCTTTATTAATAGAAATATTTAGACGTATTCTGACGTCATTTCTCACGCAGAATCGAATGGTATATATAAAAACGCCCGAACTGTTTCGTACTTGAGTATATTTATTTCATTTAATTAATAGCGACTTATTAAAAAATACTTTCTCGTTCTTCGACAGTAACAAAATGCAGTAATTTTATTTGCCTTATTTCGTTATGTATACGAGGAAAAAGGACGTTTAGGAATGGTGTCGTTGACGACCTTCGATTCCGACGTGGCGAGGTAAACGTCATTATGACGTCACTTTAAAATTATTTGTCTTGTGAACGGTAAGGGTGGAGTTATAAACTCCGTAACGTAACCGTATTCGTAGCTGTAAGCGTATCCGTATAGCGTGGTTATAAACTCCGTATCGTATCCGTATGGCCGTACCGTATTCGGTAAGAAAAGTTTGGTTCGATCAAACTTTTACGGTAAGAATACGAAGAACTGACCAATTGCGCATGCGTTAAGTCGAGTATAATCGGAAGTTATGCCGGAAGCAACCCAATAAAGCTTTGACAAATTGATTGAAACGTAAATTTTGTCCGATAATGTTGCTTCTGAAGAATATAAAATTTTAAGATAAGAATTACTTTGGTTATAAAAAAATATAGAAAAATGTTAAAATGAATAAATAATTAGTGTTAGATCTGGCAATAACTACAGATGATTTTGCGCATGCTCACAATGCATTGCTTTGTAAATCGTAAGATAAACTTGTTCCCTTAAGGATACGGAAAAGCTCTTGTGCAGCGTTGCCATTCCTAGTACATTTGTACTTTTCGGGTACATTTTGCCCTTTCCAGTAAATTGAAAGTACACTTAGATTTTTAGTACACTTTGAGTACATTATAATATTTCAGTACCATTTATGGTACAAAATAATATCTCGTGCCTTAACAAAAAAATGAGAAAAAATTAGTTTAATAAAGTCTCGCTAGTGTCACTGCTTGCTAATTTAAATTATCCAATCACAACATACAAATGGGGTATGTCTGTCAAAGTCAATAACATAGGTAGTTGCATGTATAAGTCTGCACATTCTCATCAGGACCTTGAAAAATTTTTCATGTCACGTTGTCCAAACGATTCAACTCAGTCAAACGAAAATAATGGACAGGAAAGGAAATCAATGATTTTAAACTTTCGTCGTCAATAATATCAAAATATCCGTTATGTAAAATATGTAAAAATAAACCTGTATAACGTACATTAAACGAGTTAAAATACAATCGCCACAATTTTAAGGGTTTTTAATTCTCATTTGTTTTTATATCACGTATTTCCATGCTGTTGGAAGAGCATTGGCGTCCTTGGCGTTTAAGCAGTTGTTATTTATTTTGCTCTTATATCTCCATTTTTTCATACCAAAAGCAATAGTTGGGGAATGGACCGGTTTAATTATTTTTGCCTCATCCCACTTTACACTTGCTCCATCCGTTTGTGCCATAATTGCCAAGATGGTATTGTTGTGCCCTTTACTGACCTCATACATGTGTTCTTTTGTACGCACCTCCAAGTGTCTTGTGGTGACACCCACATAATCTTTTGCCACTCCCAATTGCTGATTTACGAAAGGAATTCTATAAACTCCAGCCTTTTCTTTCATTCCTACCTCGTCCTTATCATTCCTTAACAATTTGTAGATGTTTGGCGCCCGAAATTTGTAGATGATTTTTACATTGTATATAATGTGTTATTTCTTTGGTTAAATATTTAGTATTTTACGTTTTTAAAAATATGTAAAAAATTTTAAATTTTAAAAATTGTTCGAAAGCTTTGTATTCGATAGTAGAACAGTAATTTCTTGAGGATGGCCTATTAGAAGTAGGCTGAAAGTGTTTGAGTAGTAAATAATAATAAGCTCAGCAAGTGTTTGGTGTTTGTTTATATTTATAATACTGTATAACAAATTTATAATTATTTTTTAAGGCACAATTTGTTCTAAAATTAAGATGAAATTCAATAGTATTATTAATAAATGTTGTCAATGTAATGCTTATTTTATAATAAGTAATAGATGTGTAGATATATTTTTAATTTATAAATAGCTTTTAAAAAAATTCCAAAAATAAAATTTTAAATTATTTGACAATAAACTGACAAATAATACTTGAATAGAATACAATGTATTCAAACAAAATATGAATATTTGTTGCCATAGCAAAATAATTAGTCACATTTACTTTAATTAAATAAAACGAAAAATAGTAATTTAATGTTGTTTTTTGCTAATTTTATTAAAGAAAGTTTTGTCTTACTATTCTTTTATTTAATTTAATGAAGTGCCTATGTGGCAGATTGAAAGTATATATATAGGCACGTAAACAAAGTATTCATAGAAATAGTACATTTTGAAGGAGCTTCGGTACATTTTGAAATTTCATTGTGGCAACGCTGCTCTTACGGTACTTTATAACTATTTTTATAGATATCCAGTTTAGCAAACATTTACGGATACGGTTAATGTTACGGAGTTTATAACTCGATCCTAAAAGGTACGGAAATATACAAAAGAGTGGCTAACAAAAAATCAGTTGGTGTTAACAAAAGCTGACAAAACCAAGCAAATGATGGTACGGAAATATTTTATATTATAGAATTTGGGTAACAAGTATTAAGTATCATAATTGAAGGAACAATATTTACTGAAAAGTTTGTCTTTTGCCAGTTTATTAATTAAAATCACTGTATTTACTATTATATTAGACGAGGTTTTTATTCATTTGTCACAGTTTCAAATTCCTAGGTCGCCCTACATGCGTGAGCGAAAGATTCTTTCTGTTTTGCAAATAATTTTTATTTATTTTTTTTTACACTCTTGTATTTAAAAAAGACTATTTTATCCTGGTTGTTTGAGTTGTTCCTATACATTGTCAGGAGTGAAGATGAATAGCAATAGGAAAACAAAAGCTTTTTAAATTAAATTCTAGATCGAAATTCAACTTAACCTTTCTTAATGCCCTTAAAATATAAGTACCTGAATATTGATATTCCATATTCATAACTTGACATTATTTTTAATTTATCACCAATGACATAAAACAGAAATGGTGCAAATATCCTTGTTTTTGAGTTATATAATTACTTTCTGTGGCACATACATAATTTCTTGTAAATCCACACTTTCCTAAACCCCAATACACTTCCAACATCTGTAATGATAATTGACTCTATATATTTTAAGAGGCGTAAATATGTTATCACCCTTATGATTTAAGGCTGGCAGAACAACACTTTAATTACAAATGTATACAAAAATGGGACTTTGCAATCTGATTGACTTTTGGATGATGACAGATTTTGAAATTCAGAAGAATAACTGAGAATAGTCTTTTCTAATGTTTGAAGCAGCAAGTATGTTTTGTTGTTTGGACATTTTTAGAGCAATATATATATATATATATATTTTGTATACAGGTGCTCACTTACAAACAGGTCTTGTCATATGTTGAAAACTAACCTAGAAAGTACATTTGTACACACAGTAACCGCTTATTGTTAGTGTTTGATTCAGTATACTTAATAGAACACATTACATTCATTTACCTGTTGCTACTGCTTAATAGCGGGTGTTTCAAATGTTTTTTTCCCACAGTAACATGGTCGCACTTGCATTTATCTCCATTGCTAGATTTAATAGTTTTTGGATGCATTTTTGAAGCACTAATTGTAAATGTTTATAAAAATTGCAAACAACAGTGAAAAATGTCATTATTCCAAAGTTACAGATTTTGATGCCACCTCACAAGTGGAAATAGAACGTCACAAACACGAAAATGAAAAGTGGTGATACACAATAGAAATAAATTCACATTAATTATTAAAAATTGTTTATTACTGGCTAAAGACTGATTTCAGCACTACCCCTTGTGGCAAGAGAATTTCGGAAATTGTGTTTGTGTACAGTCCAATTTTTTGCAAGTCTGAACATTCATAAATAAGGGGGTACCTGTATTTATAATATAAAAATAAAATGTTGAAATATCTTAATTATTAAATTAATTAAAATATCTATAACCATGAGGCAGATAATAGTAAGGGCTTATCACACCAATGATAATGGCACAAACACTCAAGAATCTAAGTAAAAACATTTAATAAAACAAAAAGGGGTGTACAATAAGATGATTACATAAGTATAAAAACCATAAAAATTGACAATGCATTTCGGACTATTTTCCAATAGAAAAATAGTCCCTCATCAGTTGGTATTAAAAAGAGGTCTTAGTATATTTAAAAATTATACAAGGTGAAAAAAAATAAATTTAAACTTAAAACTATGCCTAAAGCTATACAATATGACTGTACGAGCAGTAAGCATTATCAATGTAGACAGGAGTAATATTTCTTCTTAACGTTGCATGGTAACGTGACAAACAGGGTGCTGATACAAAGAATAGTTGAGTTAGCTGAATTATTGGTTAACTGTTATGAACTAATGTTATACAGTCAGTTTAAATTATATACAGTACATACCAAAAACAGTAGGACAACAGAGTTGCAGGTTCAGACATTTCTACAAGATGCAGGGAGCAGTTACAAAGGTGTGTTACCTTACACATCTGGAGCACAAGTGGTGAGAACATATGATGCAGCCAGATGTCATTGTTAATTTTGTCTATTTCATCATTTAATAGATGAGGGCCCATGCACAAATATTGATTGGGATATAGGGAAATTATTCTTTAAATGTAACATTATTGTTACAGAAATTGCTTTTAGCCCTAAGTACGAGTATAATTATCTTAATTATATCTAGTTGTATTGCAGAACATTCAGCTATTTTAACAGGAATCTTCATGATACTGCATTAATTCTATTATAGAATTGCATATTTTATATGAAACAATATTTTTTCTGTTCAATTCTTAGTTTTTTAAGATGAAATAATTGTTGTTAAAATTGTTCTTAAATAAATTTTATGAATTGTATAAATTATTAATACAGAATTGTACATAAATTACATAATGCTACATTTATATTTCAACTGCCACTTTGGTTTTGATTATAGTACAGGAAACTAGGGACAACATCTAGGGAGAAATGTCTAAATTGATGTCAATGCAATAGCAAACTAATATAAGAAAAAACTATATTTTTTAGTAAATTTCTATTATTACAGTTATGATGTTTTATACTTGTTAAAATTTTATAATATATAATTGTATTTCATTTCTGTACTGAATTTTGTGTTTACTGTTTAAATGATTTAGGGAATTTTAAGCAGGGACAAATTCTCTGGACTTATGCGCTGCATGCTTAAGAGAAAGTTTTGGCTGTCAATATATTTTTTATGAGAGAACAGATATGCCTATAATAATTTATTGTAACGTGTAAACTTTATCATTTGTGTTTGCTTTTACATTGAGAACTAGCAGCTAGCCGTTCTAAGTCAGTGCCATTCTTGCAGGAACTCTATTGCTTGCTCGTGTGGAGGTTGCCGCAGTAAAGAAGTGCATTCGCATGCTGCCATTCGAAGCATTTAACACAGCCAGATTGTATCAAAAGCTTGCAGTACCCTGTCGGCATACATGTATTGTGTACGGGGGTGGATCTACGTAGAGATTAATAGGGCTTAAGCCCTTGACCCCCAGTGTCAAGGGCCCACAAAATTTGAATTATCATAAATTTTTAATACTTTTTCATTTTATTTCATGTGTAGATATAATGGACTTTATAATAGTCCATATGTTTTTATTCACACCAAATAACATTTTTGTCTATTATTTAGTACTAGAGATAGGCCTATTATTCTTATAACTTTCAGCATACCCAAAAATTTTGGTCAGGTTTTCCCCTGATTTTAAATGATGTTTTCCAGCTAATGTTTGCACCAGTAAACATTTGCTGGAAACCAGTAAACAACCAGTAAACATGTTAAAGTTAAAATAAATCAGTTAAACTGTACGGGGAAAACAAATGATGAGCACACAATTTGTAATGTTTTTGCTGATTACTACAGATCCATGGATGGTTTTTGTACCAGTGTCAACTTAAAGCAACATATAATAAACGCCAGTATATCCAGTACTTTCTTTTTGGAAAACTCAGCTCCCTCAGAGGTTTATAATGCTATAATGAGTTTAAAGAATAGTTCTCCTGACATTAATTTTTTAAGTATTGAAATTCTAAACTATATAGGAGATTATCTTAGCTCAACTGTTGTTGTACCTGATAAACAAATCCTTTCAAAAATGGTATTTTTCCAGAAAAGTTAGATCAAAACTTAGTTTTGCCATTATGTAAGGATAAAGGATCTAAGTGTGATGTCGAAAATTACTGTCCAATCATAATAGTATCTATTCTGGCAAAATTTTTTGAAATGATTTTCTATAAAAGATAACCTTTTTTAAAGAAATTCCAGATTATTCACAGTTATCAATATGCATACAAACAGGGATATTCGATGTTTAAAATGCAACAAAGCATCTACCAATCAATCACTTGAAAACTGGATAAGTCAAATATAGTCGTTTGTCTTCGTAGACCTCTCTAAAGCATTTGATAGCTTGAATCTGGAACTTTCAGAATTAAAATTGCAAACTGTTGGTTTAAGAGGAATTCCTTTAAGTTGGTTAAAATCATATTTGTTAAACATAACTTAGCCTGTCCATTTTTAAAGTAGTATCTCCAATTTGTTTAAACTAAACAACGGCATTCCTGAAAGTTCAATTCTAGGTCCTTTGCTTTTTAATATATACATCAATGATTTTTTTCAACCATATATCAAAAGACAACATAATCATGTATGCTGACAATATAGTTATAACTTCTCATGTGAATGCTGTAATTCTTCAAGAGAATTTAAATAACATTCTCAGAACATTAAATGATTAATTAAATGGAAAAAAAATAGGCTGACAATTAATAAATACAAGATGAATTTCTCTGTTTAACTTTTTTGTTTCTATTTGCAAATCTTGACAACCTAAAAATTGAAATACAGTAGATCTCCCTATAAAAGCGTTTCCTATAGTTATGATTCCTATAAAAATTGTGGCATTATCTGTAAACAACGGTAAAAATAACTCCTATAAAACGTAAAACGTCATCGGGCAGCCGAACTACTTACCCGCCGTCCGTAGCGCCACGCTACAGAGAGATTTCTATCGTCTGGACAGTATTATATAAATTATATATAAATTAGGTACTGTACATATAATTATATATTAATTATATATAAATTAGGTACTGTATATATAATTATATATTAACTTAATTTATTGTAACTTTATTATAATTAAATATATATTTTTCGCCGTCTAGCGTCACGCTACGGCGAGTTAGGCGACCTATCGTCTGTTTAGTACTGTAATTTTATACATTTCTTGTGAAAGAAACATTTCTTATTTAACGGCCATAAAAATTATTTATATTAATGATGTCTCCAAAGGTCAACGAAGTTTTCGCAGAAAAATAATATCAGAAATCGCGGCCGCAATTTGATGCGCTGTTCCGCGACGAAACCAAGCTTTAGCAACGAGCGTAGTCAAAGGGTACACACTCGGTAAGTAATCCTACAATTTTTTGTTTATAACGTAGTTTATACGGATTATTTTAAAAAAAATATACGTATTTTGGAAATGTTGAGTCGAATTAGTCTAGAATCGATTAATTTTATGAAAGAAAACCTTTCAAACAGCCGTAGTCCGTAAACTATGATTCCTACAAAATTGATTCATAAAGAACGGAACGTATCTACCGTCTTATAGGGGGATCTACTGTAACTGAAAATAACATTGAAAGAGTAAGTGATATAAAGTTTTTAGGGATAACATTTGATGATCTGTGCTGGAATAGACAAATAGATGATATTGCTTTATCCTTGGCAAAGTATTGGGTTGAACCAAAAGTTCATTTGGTTTTTAGAAAGAAATAAAATATACTATGTTGAAGTAAATAAAAGTGTTTAATCCACAATGTATTTACCCTTCTGTTCAATAACCTTATGCCACCTGACAGGTAGTTTCATAATTCTGTCTGTGTAGAATTGGATGGGTTTCTGATTGAAGAAATTATTAATGTGATTTTTGATACCTTCTACAGATTGAAATTCTATGCTGTTTAAATTATTCTGCAATGAACAAAAAAGATGATAATGTGAGGGAGCAATATCTGGAGAATGAATATGCAGGGTGACTCAAAACATCCCAGTTAAAGTCTAGAAGTTTTTAGTGCATATTTAACGATATGTGTGGTCTTGCATTATCATGATGGAATACCACTCCCCGTCGATTTACAAGTTCTGGATGTTTTTGATGCACTGCAGCCTTTAGTTCATCCAGTTGGAGACAATATTTATTGGAATTAATTGTTTGGTTGTTGGATAAAAGTTTGTAATAAAGAACCCCTTTCCAGTCTTACCAAACTGAAATCATTACTTTCTGGGATGCAAACCACTTTTAGGTTGTGGCACTGGAGGATCACCTGGCTTACTCCAAGATCTCTTGCATTGAATATTGTTGTGAACGATCCATTTTTCATCACCTGTTATTAATTGCTTTAAAAAGGGATCATCTTTATTGCGTTTTAAAAGTGAATCACATACAGAAATATGCTCAATAGGGTTTCGTTCACTTAACTTATGAACCCAAACATCATAACAGGAAGTGTATCCAAGGCTAACCAAATGTCTGACAACAGATGTTTGGGATATTTTAAGATTTTGGCTATCTCTCGTGTTGTTTTATGCCGATCATTTTGAATTAAAGCCGTTATGGACTCATCATCTATGGTTGAAGGTTGTCCTGACCAAGGTGCATCTTCGAGAGAAAAATCTCCCTCCCTGAATTTTGAAAACCATTTCTGGCATGTTCGATCAGTAGCTGCATCCTCCCCATATACAGCACATATCTTTTTTTGAGTTTTTGTTAGTTTTTCCTTTCCAGAAATAATAGAGCATCAGATGTCGAAAATGCACCTTCTTAGCTTCCATTTTAATGGTTTTTTTTCTTAAAAGTTAACAAAATTTTTAAAAATAGCTGCAATTAAACTTACGTAATAAATATGCAGATATTCGTAATGTCAACCTAAACAAGTTAAAACTTGATAAGCACAAGAGAGGCGCCACAGACGAGTTATTATGTAAATACCAGAACAAACTTTTGGTTGAATTCAATATATTGGGATAAATAAAAAAAATTCTAAACTTTTTAAGTATATTACAATTGATACAGTTATACCATATATGCATAGAATTTAAAATATGATATGGAATTATAGTCTGGTAAACTACATCTTTATACTCTTAAGTGAGTTTGATATCTCTATATACAGTAGAGCGTCANATGCATAGAATCCAAAATATGATATGGAATTACAGTCTGGTAAGTTGCATCTTTATACTCTTAAGTGAGTTTGATATCTCTATATACAGTAGAGCGTCAATTATC